CATTTATTGATGCCGAAGTGGGGAACCCCAACGACAAAAGCATGCGTGCCGCTGAACAACTTGGTCAAAAACCATTGGCTTTGCGAAAGCCATTGGTTCCTGTCCGAAAGGCCACGCACGGCCTCACACAGGCGCAAATGGCACTCGCCCACGGGGCAAATACAGCAGCTGAGTCTAGTTATGCTTGTCTTTCTTCGTTTTCGAGGGGGAGGGGGGGAAAGGGGGGTGGGTCACATCGTTGCCTCCATGACTAGCATGCAAACAATCTGCAGCTACTCCAGGAAAGTATACTGGCAAGCTTGAGTAGTGTCACACGTTCTGCTCACAAATCCCCCAAAAACATGCACCTTGTCACTTTCACACTTTGTCTGCGGCAATTGCCAGGTTCCGCAGTCAGTAGCAAACTCCTTTCTAGCCTCAGGCTTCCAAACAGCAGCAACTTACACAGAAAAGGCTTCCCTGAAGCACGAGCACACGTATGGGGGGTTGTCAAACATACGGCCCCTTATTGGACCTTGGTGGCCTTTTAAAGGGGTATGTCAAAAAGGGCTCTAATTTTGCCAAACCTCCAAATGCTTGTTTCGTTTCTTTGTCCTTCAAACGGGTGTCCAATGAGAGGAACCCAAAAGACCTCTGAGCAGTGCCTGCCAGACAGATCCAGCAAGCGATGGCGCCCGGCGCGCTAAAAGCAGCTAGTTCTAATGCCCTTGGGTAGTGACAGTCTGATAGGGCTAAAGCGCGGCTTCCATATTGTTGTCAGTTCTGCGTTCGGTCAGATCTCCAGGGTTCAAGAGGCAAACAATTACAGCAAGAAGGCTACAACTATTCAAAAAGAAAGAAAGAAAGAAAAGCAACACAACAACGACATGTTGAGGCCACTCCAATTCCGGCCAGCGCCTCTTGACGTGTTTCTTTTACTCGGCCTACTTGGCCTTCTGGCCACTGGTAAGCCACGCGCAAATTGAAGCAGACCGCACGAGCGAGGCCGAGGCGCGCCCGGCGCCAGAAAACACCTCCACCTTTCAGCTTCCCTCTGCCGGTGGTGTGCCGCTGGTTTGGAGCCGGACCGGGGTAACGTTACCCATTTGCCTTCTACCCGTTCAATTCCAGATCCAAACCACAACTTCCAAACCACAAATCGAGGGCTACCTGCAAAAAGAGTGTCCACGCTTTTACCCTCAAAAAACAAAACATGGAACCTGCGGCTTCGTTGAAAGGACAACTTGGTAAACCCAGGAGCCCCTGTGCAGAAGTCCTATGCTTGTTGAGAGGGTATCTCACTTGACTGGATTTGACAACAAGAGCCCAAATTGACCTTTTTTGTTTGGCAACCAGTGGAAGGCCCCAATCCCAACCAGTTCAAAGTGAAACTCGGGAAGCGAGTTTGCCCATAGGGGCACGAATGAACCGGCGCCTTTGTCAGCAGAGCCAAGGGCACTGCACTGGCTGAATTACCGCAAGTCATGCCCACCGCACCCAGGTCTTTTGGTACCTTCCCCATTCTTTCCAATCAAAACCAAATCTTTCTAGAAAACCGCCAGAATCCCAGGTTGAAAACGGATCCGGTTTTTGAAAAGAACGATGGTTGAAAAGAACGGACAAGGAAAATCAACCCCTAGACCAAAGCAAAATTTGTGGCACCTGGGTCGATCCAAGAGGCCCGGCTGTTGACCCAGGATCTAAGTAGAACCCGTCACATTGTTAGGGGAGTGTTCCCTCCAAAAGTGGTCTGAATATTCGCTTAGAGGAATTGGACACCCCCCAATCAAATCAACCAGGGGTTGCTCTTAATCCGGGGTTAAGATTATGATTTAACCCGCGCTTCGGAGGTTTGACATGCAGGCATACCCGCGGCTTGGTTTGCGTTTGATTCCTCCAGCTCCGTCCAAGAAAAAGGATCCCGTCCCTCTAACATGGCTGTGGTTGTCAAAACCGTTCAACGGGATCCCTTTTGGGGGGCACCCAGTTTGGAACCTATTTTAGTGGTTGGATTGGGATGTTCACTGGGGGTTAACCGATTTGGCTTTTTGACCCATAACCACATTTGAAAACACCTGCCGGCAAAGCAGAGAACCCTCCCCTGTCTGGACAAGTCCAGTCAAGATGGCTCAACTCATGGGCCCCACATAAAAGCCACGCTCCTGATGTCTGGGCAACCGCGCGGCCCTGCTCCAGTCGAAACTGCGAGCCTCGCGATTTCACCGCGCGAGGGGCACGGCCAAAGCATCGAGGTGACCAATTTGGCCTTCTGACTCCAAGATTTGAAGCACCTCTCATTGGCGATCTGGCAGGTCTACCCCACCAAAAAAAAACAAAGCCAAAAAATGAGTTGCCGACAATCAGGTAGCTCTGCAGCCCTGAATCACTTGGTGACTTAGCTTGGTTGGTTTGAACCCTGGCTTCCGGCCTTCAGCCGGCACTCTGGGGCGTGTCCCTCCAGATTGGGAACTGCTCTGCGCAGTTCCTCTTCCTTGCCCGCAGCAAGTTGGCCGATGGCTTTCCTTTGGAGACATCGGACCTGGGTGAATGGTCGTATACGTCTAATGCACCCCAGCATCCCAACCCAAGAACCACCCTGCACCAGAGTGTCGGGAAACGGCACCGTCTCGCAAACGGACAAAAGTGAGACCACTCACTCCCCGGCCCAGGGGGAAAAACAAAAAGAACAGCACATGGCAAATGGCCAAGGCAAATACCTAAGGAGCCCTGCTTCAAGAGTTTTCAACTTATGGGTGCTGGTGTGCCACGTATCAAGGAAAATGTAGCAGCCTCAGCTCATCTCTACCTGCAAAGCCTCTGGGCAGGGAATTCCCCCCAGACCAAAGGCGCAAAGGCAGAAACCCCAAGCCAATCCAAACCACCGGCCAAACAATGAAATAGTTACTCGCTTTCAACTCAAAAAAAAAACGCACCACTGCGGGTGGGTTGGCTTCCACTTAAAACCACCCAAAACAGAACCTGATGGGGTTAAAGATGCAGCCGGAACATGGCCCAACATCAAGATGCGGCGGGTAGGACATTCAAACAGGAGAGGCAAAAACATGGGCATCTCCTTCCCTCCCACCGTCTCTCTACTTTCACGGCACCCAGTGGACCAAGTTCCTTGCCTTTTTTGGGCGGCTCCTGTCAGGTGCCCCTTGGCGGGGCCCCACCTGTCGAGAGGCCCGGCCGGCCTTCGGTTGGCCGCATGGCCCAGGCCGCGCGCGCTGCTTGCGGCGAAGAATTTAGGCCCTGCGACCTGGGATTTTTGGGTCCTCCAGCAGAGAGACGGCTGGAATAAGGGTACCCTTCTTTCGGTAGTCTATTTTTTTAGGGGAACCCTACCCCAAAAAGAGGGGAAAAAATAGTCTACTTTTTTGGGGGACCTCCCCCCTCCCCCAAAAAGAGGGGAAAAGGGCACCTAGCTGAGGGACCCCGCAATGGTGCCGGTTTTACATTCTGGCAACGGTCACCGTAGGTCAGTAAGTGGGTTTTCCCGGGTGCCACAAAATTCCTCGGTAGATGCCACGAAGTCTGCTTTGTATTGGCCTTCATGGTGCCCATTTGCTTTGCTTCGCTTGAGGCGGCGAGCTCGTGGTCCCGGTTGGAAATCCACTCTCCGCGCCATGGTCAGAGCTACAGGTTGAATTAAGGTAGTCTTGTTGAGGGTACGCCTTTCACTCGCTTGCTTTCGGCTCCCCTGCTAAAAGTGACTAATTGTTAGTGGTATAATTCGGAAAACCCATGAGTTGGCAAAAAGTGATTCAGTCCAAACATCCCTTAAATACACCAAAGTTCAGGTCTCCAAGCTGAAAACCGGGGAACACCGCGATGATTTACGGAAACTCATCCAGGCAGCTCCATCTGACTCCCGCGGTTCTCCGCCGAAGAAGCTTCCGAGTCGCAAGGGTGCCCTTGCCTCCAGGGAAAGATTGCCACGCCGATTGCGCCGGGCCACAGGCAATGCACTTCTTCCTTAACTTGGTTGACGTTGGGTTTGGGGAGCAACAATTCTCAATTTTAGCAGTTAAGTGGGGATTTCAATCACTAAACAACAATAAGCAAAAATGTAAACTGTTTCCCAACGACAACCATGTTAAGGCCCAAGCCAGAGCTACCAGCAGCATCTTGGATTAATGCCACACGCTGCCCGCCTCACTGAGAATGATGCCACTGCCTGACTGCCTCATTGCCTGCTCGCCTTGAGCGAATCAACTAGGAAGTCTTTCCTGGATTCCCGTTAGGGGGTAAAGAAGAAAGGTCGCGGGTCAGGTTTTGTCAAGATGGGCGTCTTGAGCGCTCGCGCAGCTCCACTGCCTTTCCCTGTGAAATCACTCAAAGGGCGTCCAAGTTCTGCAGAAACGACTCGAACACACATGGAAACAAGGGGATTTCTAGGACCCGACCTACTTGAGTCCCACATCCTTCTGCGAAAGCCCACCTCCACTGCCCGCGACCCCAGATTGCAACTGCCGGGATGACTTGCAAGAAGTCACTTGCCGTCTCGAATGCTTAATCTGGCACCCTCCCACACACCAGCCGACGCACCCAAAACTTTCCTGACGCACGGCGCCTCCAACACATGCCTCCAATCGTACTCAAATTCCTTCTGTGCCCAGGGCTGATCAAGGGCGGGGGGTTCAGGGTGACCGGATCGATGCTCGGTAGCCCTTGTTGGTCCCCACGCACCAGCCCAAGGCGCACACTTTTTTCCTGACTCACGGCGCGCTCTTGAGCGTGAAAAGTCTGTCCAGCTGAGGTACCCTCAGCTAGGGCCTTTTTATTTCGTGCGAATCGGATTTGGCCGATTTGTGGTATCCCAGCTGGCCAAGAGAGCCAAACAATCACATTCTCAGTTGCCCAAAGGACCTGGAAATAAACTTGGTTGACGTTGGAAGGGGAGCAAAAATCTAAATTTTAGCAGTTAAGTGGGGATTTCAACCACTAAACCACAATAAGCAAAAATGTAGAATGTGTCCCAACGACAACCATGAAAACCAAAAGTTGTCAAAAGGTCGATTCGCTTTCGGCAACTGAGCATTTAAAAAGTTCGATGCCCCATGGCCAGTGTATGCCGGCCCGTGTTTGGCCCATAGAAAACTCATGTAGCCCGAAGTCGAGCCTCGGCATTGCAGCATAAACCTCGGCGCCTGGGCTGCCCTCAAATCCCCCGCTAGAAAAAAAACACATATGGCGGGAAACATGGAAACTACCACAAAGCACCAAAAGGATCTAAAAAGCTAAGGAACCGGATGGCTGGAAGCCACCAAGAAGCCTCAACTTGGACCAAGTGCTGGTCGCAAACATGTGGATCGCTTTAACATGTGCCAAACTCAGCGCAAGCAAATGATTGACAAACTCCGTGCAATCAAACATGAGACTTTGGGTACAAACATGAGACTTTGCCCTGGCATGGGGGAAACGCAATAGATGCGAGCCCGAGTTAGATTTGGTATCCTGCGCTGTGGCGTGCAGTGGGAACGCTACAGCTGCAGGCAGAGTGAAGAGTTTCACCATAGAAAGCGCACTCTTGATGTCCTGATCCTGTTGCTCTTCAATACAGACCAGCTGACTTCTGCAATGAATCCGGAAGCCCACAAGAATCAACCCGTCGGTGCAATTAAAAATCAGAGCAACAAAGAAGGGGTAACATCCACCCAACGGTCCGGATCCCTTTCCGAGCGTCCTTTTCATTGACTCCCTTTCCGAGCCATTGAAGTGGAGGGAGTTTGTAACTCCCAATCCACATAAGAGAACTGTCCAACCCTTGGTATGTTAGCAAAACACTTTGTTGGAGGCCCCTGCGAAAAATGAACAGAGCTCAAGATAAAAAAGAAGAACAGTAACGAAACACATGCCAACAACAATGAAACTACGGAACAATCGTTGCAATGCGGCCAACCGAAGGCACAAAACCATAGGGGCCCGGCGCTATTCTTCTTGAAGTCGCTCTGGGCCCAGTGGGAACAACTTCTCGGCCTCAGGTTGCTTGGCCTGTTCAACGTTGAAGCAACTCAAGGAGATCCCTCAAAGCCTTCTGCACTTGGATCTGAAGGTGTCCAAAACCAAACCGTGACTAAGAGGAGCAGCATATGCCTCGCAAAGGTAGCTCTCGCCTGCGCTGGGACTTCGCCACGGGACAACGAAACTGTGGACGGAATCCTGCTGCTGTTGGTTATCAAGTATTCATGGGGGTTTCTCCGTACCTGGTGCAGGATGCCATGAACGGAATTCCCGAGGTGCATTAAGAAAAAGACCGGCGTACGCACCAGTTCCCATGAAGAGCTTCTCGTGGATGCAAAATGGGTTGGCATAGATCAAGCAAGCATTTTGCATTTTCTTAGCGGGGTAGCGTGTCTGGTTGGCATGGTTCGACAAAAAGCCACATTCCAAGACTTCGCGCAGGATCATATGACGATTCTCTTGAAAACAGAAGAAGGAAAAAAAACAAAAACCGAGGGTAGCCAAGAAAGGCCATGCTACCGACTTTCCAGGGTCTTTGTTCTGGCACGTGAAATAAACCCACCCAACTCAAGGCTTGGGCCCCCGGCCGGAGACCCCCCCAGCCCATCAAATTGTATCCTCGAAACCGCGTGCTGCTTGACCTGCAGAAATGCCCCGCGCAGAGCGGAAGAGGAAGAAATCACCCCCAAGGGTTGATTTTCCTTGTCCATTCTTTTCAACCATCGTTCTTTCCAAAAACCGGATCCGTTTCCCCTGGGTTTTGGAAGGCTTCCTGAAAAGAAGGATCCCTGGAAAGAATGGGGAAGGTAGCCCTAGAACTGTGGATGCACCACCTTGAAACCATGGAACCATGTTTTTCGTCCGAACGCCTGCACAATGAACTGCTCATTGTGCTGCACAATGGCATGCTGCAAGCTGCCCAAGTTGAGTTCATGCAATGCCAAGAACAATTGCACCGCCTTCCGGCACATCATGGCACATCCCTTTCGGTGCAGCTAAGAGTGAAAATGGCCCCCAAAACTTCCGTCAGGGAGCCGGGTTTGGTTCAGTGGGAATCCCCACTCGACGAATGGGGCGCCAGCAGGCCCTCGGAGTTGCTGAGTTGCCCCTTCGAAATAAAGCGAACGCATGAACGAAGCCAAGCAACGCCACTTGTCGGCCAAGCCACGCGACACCAAGATTGGAAAACCGCAAGGTCCGAACAGCTCAGATTCATTGGGGTGCTCTGACAACAGCTTCCAAAGCATTCATCTAATGCACGTCATTCCCCGAGCGTGTCGCTTGTGAAGGAAACTATGCAAAATCACTGGAAATAAGCAAATAAACATATTCTCCGATCTTGGTTGGGCGATGCGCATGCTACCTGACCAAAGCAAGTCTTCTGACAAGCATGTCGACTAGCTGGTATTCCCTTCCCACCCCAAGCCCCTTCCCCTAAATCCCCAAATCCAGTCCATCTTGATGGCGACGAACAATGGCGGAAAGACATGTCTTGGCGAAACCTCATGAGATCTTCTTGCTCGTGCCCAGCAGGGAATGAGAAATGGAATAACCCTGAGATAAATGATCTATCTGGTGGTTTCCTTTATTCGGGAATCCCCTTCCTTTTTCATTCCCTGAGCAGCTGCCACAAAAATAAAAGTTGGGTTAGGGACCCAAACAAAAAGTGGTGGGGCTTCCTTGTGGTTGGCCTTTAAAAAGAGACAACAAACCCAAACTCAACCCTGTTTTTCCAAAAAAAACACGCGAGGTTGGAGCGAGAAAAAAATCGGCGAGATCGAGCGATCCGCCTGGGTGCCCACGGCATCCTCGCGGTTGAGATGCATGAGCCAGCCGTACATCATCCGCAGCACTGCCTCGTTCGCGCGACAAGCGCGAGGCGCGCGAGCGCTTCCCAGGCGCGCGAGCTGGTGCCTTGAGCTACGTCTGCTAGCCCCATTTCGTCCATCCACATCCTGGATCTCCAAGCCTGGTGGGAGATCAGCAGGATGGGCTGCTGGATCCGCTCCAGATGGGACATCACCGACTCCAACCTCTCCGCAAAGGCGCTCGGACCCCGAGAAACAAACGGATCGCCGCGTTTGAAGGTTCCAAAAAGAGAAAGGTGGAACTGGACATGGTGCAGCTAAATTTGTGTCACAGGTTTTTTTCCCCCTGAGGCTGCAATTTACTGGTGGTTTCCATGGAAACTGCAATTTCGAAGGTTCCGTGATTGGAATCCCAGGCCCGAAGCCGACCAAACTCGAGACGCAAGAGCAAACTTCCGAGCCGAGCGCGCCAAAGGGGCGTGGCTTGAAACACCCCACTGGCGCGAAGGGCCCGGCGAAGCCAGGCGAACGCAAACCCCCCAAGCACCTCCTCATTTGAGTCACTTGCTCAAAACCCGGTACCAGAATGGTCGACCCAGAGCCCTGCTTCAAGAGCAAGAAGGCGGATCTCCGCAGCGATTTTTATGGCCAGGGTCCCGATCGTCCCTTACTAAGCTTCACTTACCCGGGTTTTTGAGCGAGCACGTGGCTCGTTTGCCCGAAGGACCGAAAGCCCACCTTTCGAGGTGACGAAAACTGGACCCAAGTGGAAACCGAAAGCCCCAAGAGGTGGGCTTTGGGATCAGCTTGGGGCTTCACGGCTGTTGAAGTGTTCGCGAGGACGGGCAAGCAGCGAGCCCAATTGGTACATTCTTCTTGGGCCCCGGAGTCTTTTTCCCCCCCAGCCGCCCTCCTATGGGATACGAAGCCCCAGTTCATGCACTTCAATCCATGAACTGGAGGGTACCCAGTTCATGCACCCCCAGCCCACAGAGCAACAGCCGCATCGCTTCCCGAACGCGTGCGCCGGGTTGCCCCTGCCAAGTGGGGGAAATGAAAGCAGCGGCCCCGCTGAAAAGCAGCGGTGCCGGGTTGGACCCTAAAATGCGCAGCTTCCTCCGGTAGAGAGGTTTGAATAAGGGTACCAACTTTTTTCCGGTCGTCTATTTTAGTAGGGGAACCGAACTTCCCCAAAAAAGGGCTGAGAGGTCGGGCACCTAGCTGACCTAGCCCCTAGTTTGTGGTTTGGATTGGTGGTTGGGTCGGTTCAAGTCCCCAAACCAATCTAAACTAGGGAGGCCTCCCCCCCATTTTGGGGAAACACCAATAGGTCACATGGCCGAGAATTTCTGATTTGCCGACAGCTTCTGCATGCGTTATCGGTGGCGTAAACTTGCAATAGGGCATCTTCTGCCCTCAGCCCTTTTTGAAATCCGAAACAGCAGTCGAGCTTTCAACATGCAAAACCTGAAACACCTGCCGAGCCTGCCCTCAGCCCTTTTGACCGCTTTTGGAACCAAAAAAAAAAACACGAAACATCCCTCAAACGCAATCCTTATTGGAGCTGCTAGACAATTCGGCAGTTATGGCCCTTACAACCTCCAGGCAGGCAGAATCGACTTGCCCTCCCGCCCAACTCAGGGGCAAAGCCTGGAGATCACGTCCTCGGCTGGCTGACCGGTCGGCTTCCAACCCCCCCAAAACTGAAACCCAAACGCGGAATGCGACCCAAAAGTGAATCTTTGTGAGAAAACGGGGGGGGGGGGAGGAGGTTGGGTGGTTTCATTGGTTTCATGCTCATCTGGGCATGAAAAACACGGTGTACATAGGGAGCCCCTCCCCACATTCTATCTTCAGCCCTTGGCCCCAAAGTTGTTAAGCTGGTCCATGTGTGGTGGTCGCCCCTGGCGAGACAACCCAGGTACTCGCAAAACCAAAGGCCGAGGTCAGCCACTTCCCACTTTCTTGGAAAGCAGTTTCGATTTCTCGCTCGGGCCGGGGATCTCTCCAAGCTCTGAAACAAATGGGGCTTGTGTCACGCAAAGCTGAAGAAACACCCATTGGGCTTCTGGGCTGTCCTCAGGTCCCCTGCCAAAACTTTAACTTTTGGTGGGTTAAATGCCACCCCCACTAAACTGACTAAAAACCTACAAACCCATTGAACCGGATGGCCTTCTGGAACCACCGAGGTTGTCTAGGTCCTCCAGTAGAGAGGTTGGAAAAAGGGTACCCTTTTTGCTGTAGTCTCTGCTAGTTGGGGAGCCCTCCCCCAAAAAAGGGCAAAAGGGCACTACTGGGGGACCTAGTTGCTATAACAACCCGCGCTCAAAGCACGTTATTGGACCAGGTAGAGGGCCGCGTATGTAGCATCCACTGGGCTGAGCTTGGGTTGAGCTCGGGGACAGACCTTTTCTAGGTTTGACACCCTGCTTCACCGCAGCTAAAGGAAACAAAACGAAGAATGTGCTTCAAATATATGTGTGTGTGTGTCCGTTCTTTGGATCTGTTTTGGGGGGCGGTTCCAACAAAGGAACGTTTTCTTTGCGTGTGTGCGCGCGCGTGCCACCTGTTTTAAGATGCCCATTGCGTCAGCAGCACCGCTCCACTCGTGAGATGATGCGCTTCCCATGCCTTCGCAACATGTCATGGCTCAGCGGCGTTGCCATAGGTGTCCTTTTAAGGGAAATAGATGGATATCCCTGGTAGATGAGGAAAACCACCAGGTAAACCAGGGATCGCCCTCTATTTTTCTGCAAAAACCACAAAAAAGACACCTACTCAGATGCCCAGTGGCCATGGCAACAAAAGGGCACCCTTTTTTGGTTGGTTGACGTTAAAGGGACACCCTTCCCAAAAAAAAAGGCAAAAAGGGCACCACTGGGCAACTGGGCCTATGGGCGTTGCGGTGGTTGCAAGCAGAAATCCCACCTGCATGCAACCCAAGCGTCATAGTAGGACTCGCCTCGTGGATATCGGAAGCCGAGCTTGTCCCTTTTTCCTGGGCGAAACGAATTTCTAAGGGTTTTTTTGTGTTACATGCTGGGAATACACCCACTGGGTATTGACCCCATTTAGGCACATTTCCGAAACAATACCGTGTTGTTTTGAACCATTCTGGGCAGGGGTGTAATCTCAGAGCATTGCAGAACTTCCTTCCAGCTGACTTTGCTTCCGTGCTTGTGAAAGTGAAGGGAAGCAATTACACACTACAACCTGGCCTAAGAATCCGGCCGCGAAAAACACCTTTTACTTTTCGGTCGCTTCTTTTGCCACTTCCTGCCTCCCATGATGCAGGAAGGTGTCTCTGGCAAAGTTCATGGCCCGTGCCCCAGAAAAGGCTTCCTCTGGAACCTCCCCCCGAAAACGCCTCCCGGGAAGGCTGGGCTGGGGCTTGATGTATCGGCGTGGTGCTTTTAAGTGCAACATGCGGCAACATGGTTCAAAACCGTTCAACGGGATCCCATTTTGGTTGAAATTGGTGAGTTTACCACCCATTTTAGGAATCCTAGTTTGGTGGTTAGATTGGAATGTTCACTGGGGGTACGATTTGAATTTTGACCCATGGTTGTGTTGGCTGATTCGCCGGATGCAAGAGCTCAGTGGCAAAAGTGTGAATGCAACCAGGTGTGGTCGGCGGTGTCTTTGGAAGGTGCCCCTTTTGGAGCTGCTTCAAAGCGACACCACAGGGCATATCGCAACATTGAGGTTCGCCCGCCCCGTTTTCTACCATGACGCAGTACCAGCCTCCTTCCATTTGGCGTATTGGGTTGGCGGTTCGGAAGTTAGGGGGTGGTTTCCCACTAACGCCCTGTAAAACCGGGCTCACAATCCCCAAACCGCCAATCAAAACGATCAACTAAGGCACTAAGGTTCAAGACACACTCATCTTGCGCAACTCACAACCCTCAGCCAGTCACATTCCAGAGAGCCAACAGGCTTGCGCTTCCCATTTGCCAATTTCCCATGCTCTCTGCTTGGGGGCGCCTTGCTTTCACCAGAATGTGGCAAAGCGCGCAGTAATCAGTTTTGCCCAAACAGTTTCGCATGCCACTCCTGAGCGCACAGATTACCTTGCCTTCAAGTGTGTGATGCAAGTCCTTTCGCCTCGGCAGCCAAACATTTTGCTGTTTGTGCTCGCCATGGAACACCGACACATCAGTTGTGGTTGGTCTGGTTGCTTCCAACCCGCCTACCGTTCACTCCGTTGGCCAATGCTTCTATAGCACATTGTCCGCAGTCGGCCCCTGCACCCGTATTCAAGTCCAGCTACCTACGCAGCAAGGCCAAATCGGTGAACCTCGAAACAATTGTTCGCACTCTGTTTGGAACCAGTCCTGTGGCAACTGCACTAAACAGTGGCATATACGCTGAGCGCCGCTTCTGAATGCTGATATTCAAGGACCACGAACCTCCCCCCCATCACTAGGTCCTGTAGAGAGGTTCGAATAAGTTGGTACCCTTTTTCCTTTAGTCTATTTGTAGGGGAGCCCTCCCCCAAAAAAGGGTATCAGACTTGGTTGACGTTGGAAGGGGAGCAAACATTTAACTTTTAGCAGTTAAGTGGGGATTTCCCACTGAACCACAATAAGCAAAAATGCAAAATGTTTCCCAACGACAACCATGATCAGGGCACTACTGGGAGACCTAGACCACAAGTACACAGCTTCGCTGGTTTTCGCTGCTCCCGAAACTCGCCGAGCTGCGATCTTCGATGACGTTGGGCGCTCGATTTCTGATTTCCTGAGGCAACACTCCGACTTCAAGAAGCTTCATGTGGCCATGGGTCAAAATCCCGTACCATCCCCCCAGTGAACATCCCAACCCCACTAAAATAGACTAAAATGGGTGGTGCACCTACCCCAAAATGGGATCCCACTGGTTTTGACCCACAGCCATGTCCCTGACAAATTTCCGCGCGCGGAGCGCGCCTCTCCAAAAGCCGACTTCGCCCCAAAATGGAGGGATGGTGCTTTAAAAATGCCGGGGTGAGCGGCACACGTGCCCATTGTGCTTTGTTTATCACGTTTCAGCACCGAAAACCATTCGACCGTCTTACGTCCGCTCATTTGTTGTGCAAAGGAGATCAATTGCCACTGAGGAAGCACCAGCCGGAGCGAATGAGACTCACGTCGTATGTGTGAAGATAGGGGACCCTATGCATATCTATACATCGTGATTCTTTTTGTTTTGGGTTCCCTTCAAAACCAACCAAAAAAGGGCACCGTCGAAAAAGAAAAACAAAAAAAAAAAACACGCTGAAGCAATCTGGAAACACCCTCGGAACTCGTCAAGAAGGCCCAAGCAAGCAATGATTGAACACACAAGGCAGGCAGCCCTCTGCAAACACGATGAAAGAGAAGCCATGCATCTCCAGCATTGACACAGCATGAACATCTAAAAAGAAACATCGCTCGCATCTACAGGGGTACCTCCCTCTCCCTGCAGCCCATGAATGACTTGTGGGAAGGTGCTACGTTCCGGCAGGTTCACTTGGAACTCCACTATAGTCTTTTTGCAAAAGGAATCCCCTTTAAGGGAACGCGTTTCTGGGCTCATTTGCTCATATCAAATCCAAAATGTTTGAACAAACGTTGGCGTCCTCCTCAGTCAAGCCATCGTACTCGCCGGCATAAACCTCGTCCATGTTCCTGCCGCATGTTTCTCGAGGATTCCAGGGCGAGATGCCATGTTGTTGAACACCCCGACTCGTGGCAACAAATGCCCTCATGCCCTCCCTGTGAAACATGCTGGTGTCTCTTCTTGGTTGACGTCGGAAGGGGAGCAAACAAAATAAATTCTAGCAGTGAAGTGGGGATTTCCCACGAACCCACAATAAGCAAAAATGCAAAATGTTTCCCAACGACAACCATGTCTTGTGGGGACTTCCAGCCTCAAAAAGCTCACTTCAAACCAATCGATCCTGGCTTCGTGCATTGGACAATCCAAGGCCAAATTTAGGTTTTGGCGAGAACGCCCGCGGCTGGAGTGGTGAACAAAAACACTCAGAGGGCGGTCATGAGGAAGCTTAAGCCAAGCTTTGGAAGGACACAGCACCCATCCCCCATTCCGGGAACGCGCTGGACGCCAAAAGGCGAGGGGCACAAAGAAAGTGCCTCGCACGTGACGCCAACTTGACATTTCAAGAGCGACGGCCCTACTCCCAACCTAAAAAATTGCCAACACATCGCCATTTCGCGACACGTGACCGGGCTGTGCAAGAAGCTCCGCGGCAACGGCCCGCCTGAATTGACGACCTCGCATCTGGAAGAAGTCCTTCCCATCTGGGCCTGACGGCTCTCGCAGCCAACTCAATCCACCATTGCGACGCCGCGATCCTCTTTCAAGCATAAACGCAAAACACTCCCGACGGAGGAAAAAAACAAAACACATATTTCGAGTGTTGTTGTTGTTGGGCAGCATTCTCCGGTTCAAATATTGCAGTGATCCGGTACTACTTCGCTGGTGGTTTGGATTGGTCTCTTGGGGGATTGAACACCTGGTTCTTGTAGAGGGAGCTGGACAACTATCCCCAAACGTGTGACTGAGTATCCACGTCTCTGCATGTCTGTCTGTGTACGTGGGTCTCTGTGTGTTTCTCTGTGTGTATGTCTGCGTGTGTGTCTCTGTGCGTGTCTCCCTGTGTGTGCATGTGTCTGCGTGCTGGTTTGTAACCATACGCGTGACTGTCGCGTATCTGTCTCTGTGTGGCAGGTGGGTGCATGCGTGGCTTGGACTTTCTCAATGCGTAACTGGCTTCTTGCCAAGGGCTGAGCTTATGTCTGCGTTCTTCTGTCTTTGTGCTTGCTCCTCTTCGTGCATGCCATGTGTGTGGTTGCGTGTGTTTGTCTCTGTGACATTCAATTTTTCTCGTGCGTCTCTGCGTGCGTCTGTGCGCGTGTGTCTGTCTTTGTCTCCGGCGCCTGCGCCGGCCTCTCCGCGTCTGCGCCTCGCTTCTGCGCCTTCGTCCGTGCACTTTTGTTGCCGGGCAGGCAGCCAAGGGTGCCCATTTCACTCTCAAAAATAGACCTGGATGGCTAAAAAGCCAGGCCACTGCCTGGCAATGCCTCAAGTCTTTGGAAAACTCTTCTGTCACGAGTCGCCAACATTTTTCACACCTTGATACTGGGTGAAAGCCTGGTATCCGTCGCTCACCATCTAGGCGGTGGTAAGTAGCGCGCGGTATCTGTCACTCGGTATGAGTCACAGAAAACGAATCCAAACACCTCCAGGCATCGCGGAACCCTTGGCCATGGACCCTTTTATGTCCGGCTCTGATCACCTGGCCAACAGGAAGCCCAAGGAGACTCGAAGCCCCCAACGAAAAAAAAGGCTACCCACTGTGTTCTGTCTACTTTTGTTTGGGGAACCCTCCCAACTCCCAACCAACAAAATTGGGTGAGAGGTTGGGCACCTAGCTGGGGGACCCAATGTCAAGAACCCGCCCCCAGCTCTAGGAAACGACTTGGATGCGGTTTTTGTGGATCCACCCCTGGATGTTAGTGCTACTAAAAGAGTACTATCAAAAAACCCACAGGCGCTGAAGGACGGGTGAAATCCACAAAAAGCGCAAATCCAAACCGTTTTCTACAGGGCTGTGGGAAATGGAATCCACTTCTGTGATACAACAAAAGGGTCTCCCAAAGACTACCCCCATTTAAACAGGGGATTCCCAAGAGTATCACAGAAGTGCTTGGAGAAACCCCGAGTGATCAACCACAACCCTGGTTTTCTAGACTACCCCCCCGCCCGCCAGCGCCCGTAGGCCCGCCGTCCATCGGCCTACGAGCTTCGGGTGCTCGATGAACTGCGCGGTGTCGATGGTCCGCTTCAGGGAGCTGGTCCACAGCCGGCCCGGCCTCGGAGCTGGGAGAGGTCCAAAGGCCTGGCCTCAGGACTGGTACTGGAACTAGTTGGCAGCAAAAAGATATCTTGTTTGGGTAGTGGAAAACAAAGGGACCCCCGAAAAAGCGAAAAAAGAAGCAAGACGGGGAGCTCATTCTGGGGAAGATGAGTCTTATTACCTTTACCATGATCAAAGTCACCCAAGTGGTGGGTTAAAGGGAAACAAGCTGATCCCATTTTCTGACTTTGAGACCGCCCCCAGCAACCGTCAAACTAAAGTACTCAGTAGGTTCGATCCCTTCGCCCCCTGCGCGCCTGTGAAGGGAGGCCCCCTCTCATGGGTCGAAAATTCGCGGTGGGGCAAAAAAATCCACAGAGCCCCCAGTGAACATCCCAACCCAACCACTAAAATAGGTTCGAAGATGGATGGTGAATTCACCTACCCCAAAATGGGATCCCATTGGTTTTGACCCATGGCCATTTGGCTTGTCTAAAGGTGGGGAGCCCCTACAATTCTAGTGCTACCTTCCGTTTCCATTCTTTCCAGAGATCCAACTCTTTTTAGAAAACCTCCGGAAACCCAGGGAAACGGCCGGTGATCGAAAAAAACGATGGTTGGAAAGAAGCTGCGGCGTCGGTGTCCTTTTGGTTTCCCGTCAACAAAAACATCCAAAACAGTGGTTTGAAAGAAACAGATGGCCGTTTCAGTAGGGTGACCCAACCGAAAAAAGCGGAAATGTGGGCTCACAATTTAGAAGAGAAAAGGCTGGGATCCACTGAACAACTAGGGCACTAGGGTACGGCCCCTCTAAACATGACACCAAGAGGAAGCGTTCAAGAGTCCACCGACCGGAACTACCGGAAGTTGGCCAAGCCCAGGTATGTGGCGGGCATTGGCCCAGACCTGGGCTGTTCTCCTTGGAGATGCCCTGCTAAAAGTGAATAACTTCTAGTGGCCGAGTGGACAAAACACCCGAAAACACATGTTTTTCATGGTTCACCGCATGAAAGTCCACAGAGGCTTTACCAACAAAAAGACCCGGTGCCAAAAAATCATAAGCTGGGCTCTCCAAGATGATCCCCTGCTTGGAAAACGGTTACGCGGACACCCCTCAGGGAACCGGATGGCCTCCGGGGGGTTTGCCGCGGCAGGGTGAGAAGTCAACACCTCTTAGCTCGGCTGGAAGTAGTTGACCCCAGCAAAAAATGAGATCTTCTTTGCCTGGGTGGAATGGAAAACAAAGGGAACCTCCAAAAAAGCAAAAAAAGGCAAAAAGGGGGAGCTAATTCTGGGGAAGTTAGGAGAACCTGGGATCCAGGCGAAGCTTTTCTCAGTTGACTTGGCAAAGTTCAGGCTCTTTGCCCAAAGCTGCTGAATGAGACGACAGACCAAAGATATGAAGTTTGCAAGCGCAGGTTCGCTAAAAGGCCCCTATCATTTAAAAAAAAAAAACTCCAGGGGGAAAAAAACAAGGGATCATAACCCAGCCGTCCACAATGTCCCCTTTAGAGCTTCTAACAAAATCCAACTGGACCGGCAAGCAAGGTCGACCTTAGCTTTTGCCATGAGATGTTCAGACCCCGACCATATCCAGTGAACCTGAAGAAGTCAAGTTGTTTCAACAATGGAACCACCTGAAAAGTTGTTGGTGGGCATGAATCCTACCGAATTCTGACCACCCAACAAATTGTGTTCTTGTTGCTCCCCCTCAAAACGCGCCTCAAATGACGGAGTTGAGAGCCCCACTGGTGGTTCCCCTAACACCACCCTGGCAGGGCTCCCGGCACCCCTGAGGGCTGGGACGTGTCCCCGCCCACCATGACCAAGGTCGCCACCTGAAAATCACCCCCCCCCCCCCCGGCGTAGGATGGACACGTAAGGTCTACTTTGCGAACTCCCTGGGTTGTTTTCCATGCACTTTACCCCCCAAAACCAGCAACACTGACTGAACAAAAACGCAGCTTGGCTATCTAGGTCCTTCTTTTAGGGCACTGCTGTTGTGGGGCTCCTAATTCCAAAATTACCTCTAGGTATCCATGCCCCCCCCCTCCCGCCGCTGTGTTGGATTTCCTCAAACCAAATTCAAGCGCACCTTTCTGAAAAGAAACGCGCCAAAAAACAAGGACTGCCCGGCCGCGCCCCTTTTGGAACTCTGCAAATCCCAGCGCCTTAGCCATTTGCTAGCACCCATGAAAGTTGTGTTTTTTGTTTGTTTGTTCTTTTTTTTGGGGGGGGGGCAACAACATTGCTGTTGAAATGAAAGTGTTTTTTTAGAGGGGGGGGCAACAACATTGCTGTTGAAATGAAAGTGGCTTTTTTTGGGGGGGGGCAACAACATTGCTGTTGAAAGTGGCGTATGCCCTTTGGGGAAACCACCCCTTCATGCTGACCTATGATTGTTGAACGCCTCGCCCACCCATCTCCCCAAAAAATGCACCTAGAATATCCTCCCTATGAGCATTGCTGAAGCTTGCTGAGATTGATGAATTGATTGCCCATTTCATTGAGTAATTACCCGTGCCGCTTTACTCCAGCCTGTTGCCGAAGTTCAGTTGATTTTTCTTTGAATGGACTTGCTGAACGCCTTTAGATCCCTTGATGGATCTGGCATAGGGGGAATTTCCAAGTGCCTCTCGCTCCCAGAGACGCGTCCGAGCTGTCAAACAAACACGCCGGCTATGAAGTGCAAAAGGAAACAAGTCATAGCAGTTGGCAAGCATCAAGTCACCGTCCAACAGAAATGTGGGGTTCGCCTCAGACAAGCTCAACCCATCTTGAAGTTGTTGGGCGCAAAATCTCCATTTCCATTTCACGCCCAAAGGAGCTACCCCGTACCCGAACGACACGCACAAGCTGAGGCCCGGCCCACCCCCGGCCCGATGCTCAGCTCGCCTTGGCACCCTGCAGCAGGCGCTCCAAATCCTCCGCCGTCACCGGGGCGTCCCGGAAGTCTGTGCCCCATCCCACCTGGCGATGGGGCACGTGGTGGATTGGAAGCCTCCAAGGTTTGAGGCCCGCGCTCCATTCGAAAGCAAGAAACAGCTTGGTTGACGTTGGAAGGGGAGCAAAAATTGAAAATGTTAGCAGTTCAGTGGTTGGATTCCAACCACGTAACCACAATAAGCAAAAATGTAAAATCATCCATCTATCTCTCATTCCCTTCCCTTCCCTTCCCACTCTCTTCTCTTCGTCCTCACTTTACCTCTCTGTCGCTGGACGGAGGACGAGCGGGAAGGAGAAGAGAATGAGAGTAGATGGCGAGCAGATCCTTCATTCGCTCCCGTCAGTCGCTCGATCTCCAGCATATGATTGTCTCTGGGATCCACGTCCTTTAAAAAGGAAAACGTCCAAACCAGGACCGCCCCTGTCAAGTTCCATGATAACTGGCGGGAGGGTAAATGAAATAAAACCCATCTAAACCAATGGAACCCATCTATTTCTAATAAAACTAAGCAAACAAGGAGACCTATAACTCAGATGGCATCCGGAATGCACCAAAACCCACAAAAACCAGCCCAAATTAGGTTCCACCTCCCCAAACCAAAAAAAGGAAGAATGAAAGAGAGAAAGAAAGCAAGAAACTGTTTGGTGGTTTCACGTTTGGGGGGTGCCTTCCCAAAGAAGACGTGGGAAGAGAAGAAGGATGAAGAAAGAGAACAGTAATATAAAAAAGATAGTAATAATATAGGGAATAAAAATAGCACGCAATGATGGGACGATTATAGAAATGACATGTATATGTTTGTTTAAAGAAACAAATGCAAAAGAAATATATATTAGATAATAGATGAATAAAGATAATATAAAAGAAAAGGAAACGAAAACTCATAAAGATATAAAATAAAAGAATATTAATAAAAGAGAAGAAAAATAATATCAGTCTTTACAGAAAGGATTCTGAGGTAAGGAATAGATAGAGGAATAAAGGGAGTTGGAGAGAGGAGATATAGACAGGCTATTTTCATAAAGGTACCGCAGTTCAATCCCCAAGCCACCAATCCAAACCATCAATTCAGGGGCACATGCTTTGCCAATTGCTTTGACAATCTTTGGCAGTCCATCAAAACCCGTCCAAACAAATGAGAGCCGTTAAAAAAAAGAAGAAACAAACAAGAAAAAAGAAAACGGATTGAAGCCGGACACCCGCATCTTGAGGATCTCCTCAGCTCCAGGAAACGACCACACCCTACAAAGCCCCCCCCCCCCCCCCAAAAAAAAAAGGCCTAAGGAACCGGATGCCTTTTGAACGTCGCAAAAACCGCACCCGGCCCGAAGAAAAACAACACCTCTGGGCATCTCTGGACAACCACTCAAAACCAAAAAAAAAGAAAAGAGGAAAAACAAGAAGAACACAAAAACAACAACAACAACAACAACAACAACAACAACAACAACAACAACAACAACAACAACAACAAAACGGCACCCGAAGAAAACAACACAAACAACGAAAAAATAAAAAAGAAAAAAGAAACGAACAACCACAAAGGCGCCTGAATTCGCTTGAGCTGCATGAGCCTGGCGCAGCGCATGCGCAAGAAAGCGCGAAAATGGGGGGGGCCAAAATGGAAACCGATGTTCTACGCCCTGCAGGAGGTGTTGACGTTCTCTGGGCTGCCCGTTGTCTGATCCCCTGGATCAAAAAAATAGAGTAACGTTGAATGGGTTACATGGACACCATCACAAAACCCCTAGAAGTTCTCAACTTCTTGTGGGCCCAATTCGGAACATCCACCACTTCCCCAACAAAAAAACAATCACCAAACTTGTTGTTTACCACCAAAACGGTCCACACTCAAGTGTTCAAGTCCGAAACGGAACTCAGGGGGTGAGAGCTTCGAAACGGCCAAAATAAAACCCATCCAATGGAAACCCACGGCCACCGCTTTTCAAAAAATAAGAGACAACCCGAACAATTGCAATGAGTCTAGGGATTTATTTTCCTTTTCCATTCTTTTCAGCCATCATTCTTTCCAAAAACCGATCGCCATTTTCTCTGGGTTTGCGGAGGTTTTCTAGAAAGAAGCAGGCCAACCCGATGTCAACTAGGTCCTCTAGTAGAGAGGTTAGAATAAGGGTAGCTTTTTTTGTAGTGTATTTTAGGGGAACCCTCCCAAGCAAAAAAGGGGTGAGAGAGGGCACCTAGCTGGGGGCCTAGTCAAATTAACCATTGCCATGAGAACGCGAATCCTTCAGCTCTCAGCCCCGAAAGGCATAGCGACTGCGCCCTTTGACTCGGCGGGAATCGGCGGAATCGAAGCGGCGGGCGGTTGTTATGGGGCACAGCGCCAACTTTGTGTTTTTTTGGCCATGGAGTTGAAAAGTGTTCCGCAAAAAACAAGATGCGCCCGGCAAGTTAAGGTGAAACCTGGAAAAGGACAGTGGAAACAAGAGTCAAGTCAACGAAACAGGATCAGAGCGCAAGCGCACTGGAATTCTGATCGTCAACCCTCAAAAATGCCGTACGCCAAGCCCCCCCCCCCAAAAAAAAAAGAAGAAGCCGGTGTTGAGATATTGAAAGCACCAAAGGCAACTGCATAGACTCACCATAGCATCTTTCACGTGCAATGGTTGACGCCCTTGGGCCAAGCTGGATCGGGTGTTGGCCAGGCCCTGTGAAAGCTACCCAGAACGAGGTCGTCCCCCAATTTGCTGATCGCAACGTCCCATGTGCATCACTAAGCCACCGGACTAGGGCAAATCATCAGCCCGGAACCGCCCCTCCCCCCCCCCCGCCAGAATGGTTCGCAGCTGCCCTAGAAGAATCCCTAAGGTTCTTCGCTTACTACCCCCACCAACTCCTGGCCAATGACCCCCTAAGGTTCTTAGCTTTGGCCTTGGGGGTGCCCCCCAGGACCAAAATGAAAAAAAAGAAGAAACAAAACTCCCCTAGAAGAATCATCGCTTTGGTTCCCAAGGTGCCCCCCAAAAAAATGCCATCGATGCCTCAACCGTAACTTTTCTCATCGCGAATCGACGACCTCGGCGCCAATCGGCGCGCGGATCATTGGGCCTAAGGACCTCGGCGCCGCTGGAGTCCCCGAAGTTCTCCCAGTTGTCAAAGGCCACCAGACCCCTCAGCCCGGGCCCGACTCGACTCGACTCGACTCGACGCCCAAAAAAACCGCCAGAAGCCATAAGCGCTGCCCTTTGACCTCCATTTGCGGATACGTCCCCCGGAAAAAAAAGAAGAAGAAAAAAACAAAACAAATATGTCCCGTAGTGAAATTGATCCCCTTTAAAACCAACAGGGGAAATTCAAAAATATGATTAGCCAAATGGAAGTTTATGTGGGGCGGCGGGGGGGGAACACATGATTGATTTTCGCACCCCAAAAGGCTCCCGAAATATGCCATGCGCCGCCCTTTTATGTGGGGCGGGGGAAAGCACATGCGAAAAATGAGCACCCCAAAAGCCAAAACGAGCTTTGGTCCTGGCAAGGCGCCCAAAGAGATTTCGACCAGACATTACTTTGACCTCCTTGAAGTGGAGCCGGTTTTGCCGAAGGCCCGACCGAACTCAGTGTTCTTGTTTTGCTTGATCGGCTTCCTCCAGTGGAGAGGATAGAATAAGGGTACCAACCTTTTTCAGGACGTCAATTTTAGTAGGGGAACCCTCCCCCAGAAAAGGGTAAAAGGGCACTACTGGGGGACCTAGTCGGTTTAAGGGCCTGAACAGTTAGAATAAGAATATAAGTTATTGGGACTAACCCGACATACCACGTACCTCGTAATTAGAGACATGCAGCCGTCTTGGTTGCTGCATACACCTTGACGCACGCTAATGTCGGAAATACCCGCTGGTGGAGATTGTGGGAATCGCATGGTGGGATGTGAGGATGCTGTTTGGGTTCGATGTCCCCCAACCATGTGCAAGGGTGTTCCCCGACAAATGTCATTGGCCATGGTCACATTGAATCTACTCCATTTAGTGGATTAATGGAAACCCCAGTAGTTGGCAAAAAAAATAAAGTCCTAACATCCAAGCAACATGCGCCAAAGTACTGTACTAACATGCTCGCTCTTCTCGACACCCAATTCCCCCAATTTAACCTGGTGCTCTGGTGGGTCGGCCCACAGCTGTGTTCAACTTTCGACTGGGCGGGCACCTCCCAAACCCATCGGAACACGACGCAAAACGGCTGGACACGGGGACGAAACCATCCGCGCGGCCCAAACCCAAGGCCCCGGAGTTGCCTCAGAGGCCTTGTTTTTCGGGCAAGGGAAGGACCGGAAGGAAGCACCAAGGTCCTCATTTTTTTCCAAAAGAAAAAGAAGTCGCCACTTGCGGGAAGATCCTTGACCATGAATCTCAGGGTATCTTCCCCATTCTGTCCAGAGATCCTTCTTTCTAGAAAGCCTCCGGAAACCCAGGGGAAACGGCTGGTTATTGAAAAGAACGATGGTTGAAAAGAATGGAAAAGGAATCAGCCCCTCAAAGACAACTCTGCTTGACTTCGCAGCGCCACCGAAATCCAGTGGCGCCCAAGCCAAACACGGGGAAGCTTTCCGTTTTCTCGTTTTCTCAAAGTGAAGCATTGTGGGTGACAAAATTCGGACACCCAACCATAATTTTGAAACCCAACTGGAAAGATCTGAAAACACCAGTTGAACCGGATGGCCAACTCGGGAACCAAGATTAAAATGGCCAGGTGACCGCAGGCCTGGCTCTCCGAACATCCGGGATTCCAGCCCAAAAAAAACTTCCCCCACATCGCCCCGAGGTGTAAAACGACTGTAACAATCCCCCTTCACATGGGGGTGGGAAGCCCAGACCCATCCTACAGCATAAAACCGACACGATCCCGTTCCGTAGGGGGGTTGCACCCGGCCTTGCAGCGGCCATTGATTGGGAAGGGTCCCTGGCTCACCCCCGTGCATCTCGAGTGCGCGTCAACGAGTGGGACTTCAACTCACTCCAAGCACTGACCGAGTACCTTTGTCATTCCTGGCGCGTCCCCTCAGGCCCAAGCAAAGGCCCCCCTTTACCGTCCAAAAAGGTCCCCCCCTTTTGGCTGGGTGGGTTCGGGTTCGGGTTCCGGGTCAGGGTTCCTTAAAGGATACATCCAAAGTCCGGCAGCTTCACAAGGGTTCGCATCCCCTACATCAGCCGGAAAAAAAAAAACCGGATCTTATCCTAGGGCGCTGCTTCATGCTCCAAGGGTTCCCGTTTTGGGGAAGCCAAACTCACTTCCGCCCAAAAAGCTAGCAATCGTTTATTGTGTGCCACCCAAATGATCCTTAAACCCACCCCCCCCCCCAAAAAAAAAAGGAGGAAGAAAGTTTCAAGCCCGAAACGGAACTCAGGGAGCAAGTTTGCAAAAGCGCAACCCAAACAACCCCCAGCTTTTTCGGCTCGCCCAAAAACATGTCGAGACCCTCAAGCTTGAGAGCCCTTCTTGTCGAGCGAGGCGCCCCTTGAGCTCCACGAGGCGGTCCTTCAACTGGGGCACCTGAGGTCGAGCTTCGATTGAAACCCGTCGACGCACGGACTTCGCTCCTTTTCGGCTCTGGAACACGCGCGGCGTGTGTTTTGTGTTTTCTCTTTTATGTTTTTTGTTTCTTCACGCGCGTTGGCTAGGTCCTCCAGTAGAGAGGGTAGAATAAGTTGGTACCCTTTTTTCAGGACGTCTATTTTAGTAGGGGGACCCTCCCAAACATCCCCAAGACGAAAAGGAGGAGGGGAGGGAAAGGAATTTTTCCGGGCCCCGGCGCTCGAGCGGAACCCCGCGTCAAAAGGCAATGACCCTTTGACACGGTTGGATCTTGGGAGCATGGCTGCTGGGTTCTCAGAAATCACCAAAGAAAGGGGGAGTGGGGGGGGGGGGGGGGGAGGCCGAGAGTTTGTGCTGATTCTGTATGGGCATCCCCTCTCCGAGAACAAAAACAAAAACAGCCTTGGGGGCACTCCCCGCCGTTCTGGTGGGTCCCATGGCAGCTGAGAACAAAAAGCGGTTGACTTTGAGCAGGAATCAGTCCAAAGGGTCAAACCTAGCAGGCTATGCGGCCACTGCACCCCATTTTTTCCGAGAAGAAGTTAGGCAGACTTCCCCTTTGGAATTGCAGTGGGGGCACTGTGGGAACAAAGCGACCTCATGCCCATGTGGGTTTGTCTTTGTTTGCGGTACCCGTATTGGTTGGTGTTAAAGGGAACCAAAAAGAAACCATCCATGTTTTTTGGGGAAAACCCTCGAGGATTCACCATCCCAATCATCATAGCAACGATTCACCATCCCAATCATCATAGCAACAGAGTCACAGCTGGAAAACAAAAATACCACTGGCAACCGGAAGTTGATTCGCTCCCGATCGTTGATAGAAGCACAAGCACCTCCCCCCACCCCACCCCGCGCCTAATTTTCCAACATGATCCGAGATCCCTGAGCAAGTCCCATATCACGTAGCAAGACAGAATCAGAATAATAATAACAATAATAACAATAACAATACTAGTAATAAAGGCTCCAAGCAGAATAACTTCGTTGACTCGTGAGGCGCTTTGTCCGCGCTGTCCCCCTGGAAATTCACCCGAACTGCAAATAGATTGATTCAGGGGCGCCAAGCAAAATCTTGCATCATGACGCCAAGCGCCTCAAATTGACAAGCTCAAGAATCCAAGGCAGGCCTACGTCAAAGCTTTGGTTGCGGCTTGTGTTGCCCTTTTGCCCACTAAAATGAAATCTGACTGAGTGGTCCTGGAAGACTATTCTCCTTTTAAAGGGGCCCGCTGTCACGTTCCATGTGAATTGGCGGGAGCGCACTGTTCCGGCAAGTCCAACCAAGTGCCAGTGCAGCGCAGGGCACGTCAGCGGCCGTGATGGTGACACAAACCAAGTCGCTGGCGTGGCCGCAAACCTGCGAGTCAATTGCATGATGCAAGAAAGCTGCTTGCTCTCCGATGCTCAGTGGCCATAGGGAAAAAGGGCACCTTTTTTGTTGGTTGAGTTTAAAGGGGAACCCTTACCAAAAAAAAAAAAAAGGAAAAAAGGGCACCACTGGGCGACAAAGTGCTGGATCTGGCATGATCGCCCGAATCTCGTTCATTTCGCACGCACGCGCACGCCCGAGCTCACATTCACACCTGCACATCTGCCTGCACAAAGACAGGCAGCAGAAAGATGTCGAGCATGCAGGAATCAAAACAACACAAAAGCAACATCGACAAAATTGTAGCTTGGATATCGCCCGGGGGGGCCCACTTGCATGCCACTCAAAAAGGCTGGAATGGCATGCTCCAATTGCAGCTGCGCAGCAATGTACTTGACCTTGGCAGGTTCACAGCGTCCCGCCGTCGCGCAATGCTTCTTGCATTTCCCATCACAATCGTCACATAACGTGTATGTATGATGTATCCGCATCCTGTTATGAGTGGGCATCGAGCAAATATGTTATCACCTTTTGTTATGTTGATTCTTTGCACGATGGCAGCCAACTAACGATTGGATGGAGCAAGGTTTACGTGGAACCTACTAGCGATGACCTCGCATTAAATGTTTGAATGGGTATTGCGTGTAAGTTAGTTGGCACGCAAGTTCATCAGGTGTTGAAGCTCATGTTGGTATACTGAAGGGCTGGTTGCACAATGTGCTTGCCCCTTCGTTCGCCCAACAGGGCTGCTTGCGTTGAGATGAACCTCCATTTCAGAAAATTCACCTCTGCCAACAAAAGAATACAACTTCGGCCTTTGCCTCCATCCCCAACTGCAAAATAACATCTTTAGATTCTGGCGTCGTGTTGTTCCTTTGGGTTTTCCCGCAAAACCAACCCAAAAGGGGAGTGCGTATTGATGTCACAGGACTTCTTTCTCCAAGCCAAAGGACAGAACAACCGGAGAGACTGTGACACAGACACTTCGCCAGCCTCAAAAAAAGGAGTGCGGCTGGAAAATCGCCCCTGGCGCTACGTGTGAATCACACACGCAAACCAAAAAAACAAAGCGTCGCAACCATTTAGGCCGCGAGCAACTTCCCCCAGCCCCCAGCCAAAAAACACGCCCAGCTACCCACCCACCCCCACCCACCCACACCCCCCACACCCACCCGGGAAACAAACAAAAACAAAAAACGAAAACAAAAACAAAAGACATACAATACATAAACTAAAAAAAAAAAAAAACATACCCACCCCCCCCCCCACCCCCACCCAAAAATCATCCAAAACCAAAAAACGGCCAGATGTCCGGTAGACGCCCACGGCCCCCTTCGCTCCGAGCCGCGAACTCCGCCAGGCGCCTTGCGAACTCCTCGCCCCGGCGGGAGAGCCCCGAGTCGCCCCCCAGGCGGCCCTCCACGTTGAACTCGCCTCAGGCGAGTCCGCGGAACACTGGGCCCCACCGCCCATTTGGCCATGGGCTTTTGAAAAGCCAAATCGGTTAGCCCCCAATGAACGCTTTTTGTTGGAAAACGGTTTGGCTGCGCTTTTTAGGGGACGTTTCGTGCTCTCTTGGCACCCTTTTTAATATCCTACAGGGCATCCGCAAAAGCCATCCCAGCGGCAGCCTCGCCACTGGCCTAAGCCTCGGCCTACAGTCGCCTGCCCAGCGCGCAGAAGCCAAAGGCAGCAACTTTCTTGCACTTGTCTTCCCATGGAGGCGAGTCCTCCCAACAACCAGAAGGAACCCGCCACAGAAAATTTGGACCAATTTCCAGGTCAACGGGGACCGGTTCCGGTGTGGGGTCCTTCGCTTTGCTTTGGGCGCCTTACCCAAAACCATGGCAAATTGGGAGGGTCTTTGAGCCTGTTCAGGCCCAGCTTTTCATTGCTCATTTGATTTGCACCTTTTGTTGAGTTGACACCCCATATTGTGGTCTTAAACGGAAATCCAAAAGGAACGCAGAAATCCAAATTCGGGGGTTCCCCCGTTTAAAGACATACCCAAAATGGGCGTACCCAAAACCCATGGCAACGAATCAAAAGGGCGGACATGTGGTTGGGGACTCTCCCTGACTAGCCTTAGCCAGGTCTTGATTGTGTCCTTTTTTAGGGTACCCTCTTGGAGGGCGTTCTAAGGTAACTGTTTGTTGACGGGTAAGGTCAACACCAGCGACGTGAGGAATCCACATGGACCATGGTTGATTGTCCACTTGTGGAATCGTTTTGTTTGAGCCCCTGCAACCCACCGCGCCAAACACAAAAGAAGTCTGAGACAAAGTCTCAATGACTAGGTCCGCCAGTAGAGAGGTTAGAACAAGGGTGCCAACTTTTGTCTGTCTATTTTTGTAGGGGAACCCTCCCCAACCACAAAAGGGGTGAGAAAGGGCACTACTGGGGGACCTAGATGAACATGGCTGTGGCCAAACCACGAATCCAACCCACAAATTTGGGGCCACCTGAGTGCTCAGCTTCAGCCAAAGAGGGCGCGCCAGGCTTTGGCATGCCAGGGGCGTCGAAAGAGAAGAAAAAACAAGCGTCGGTATGGACGAGCCAGGAGTTGCCACCCCTGTCCAACATGGAAGTTCAGGGGTCCTGGTTTGGACCATTTTCTTTTCAAAGGAGACTTCTTGGTGGGTCCCATGTTAGCACGTGAGCTTAGACAAATCTGCGGTTTGGACCATCTTCCTTTCTAATGGACTCTGGTGGGCATTGGTTGACCTCCCAGCCATTGGTTTAGAGAAACTAAGTCACGCATCCCTTTTTTCGCTGAGCGGCTCTCCCCGTGCCGCGCCAGGTAAATGTTGTGCTCGAAGGGGTGGAGGTTGGAGAGAAAGTGGCACACTGCAGAGCCCACGAAGGAGCGCATCATCTTGTTCACCACCTTGAAAAATAGGACACCCATGGGCGAAACAACATCTCCATCCGTCTCCATCTGACCAAGACCTGGAAGTGATAGAGTTGAACCTTGAACAAATCCAAACACAAGACCCGAAGAGATGGATTTGAACTTTGAACCACGGCAAACGCTAAGCTCAGTTGTTCAGTGACCCTGGAAAAAAAGGGAACCCTTTTTTGGGGCTTGGACCATTTTAGTGGGGCAGCCACCCACCCCCCCAAAAAAAAGGGGAAACAGAATTGGTGCCACTGAACAACTGAGTATGTCTGGCAACTTTACACGATCTGCAATTGGCATAAACGACTGGGAGGCACCCCGTGAAGGCGACATCCTTGATCCCTCGCCCAAAGCACCTGCACATCCTAGCAAGCCGTGACGAAGCACCAGAAATTACGCCTCTCAAACGACATCGGGTGAAGCATTCGGAAAACCCGGGCTTTCAATTTACCATGAATGGCGATCGGCACATTGATGTTGCACAGTTCGCCAAGTTTAGAATGTCAGGATGCCAAGTCATGCTACATTGGGACATCAGCCGCGGCAATCCTTCTGTCTCACACTGGACCGTATGCCGCCCTCTCGCGTTCCTTCCTTCCTTCCTTCCTTCCTTCCTTCCTTCCTTCGGCCAGGTGGTGATGCAAATCCAACGTCTCACGGCTTTCCCGGGCGAACGGGCGCCGCGTTGCCACCGCACGTGCAGCCGAGACGCCATCTTGTGCGTGTAGTTCCTGGGCGGTCGACGGCGTGGACTTGAACACTTGGATCTCATCACTGGCTGAGTGGATGGCCCAGAAAAAGTCTAAACTTTAGATAAATTCATCCAAAGCAGGGTACCCTCAAAAAAAGGTGCACCTTTTGGTTGAGGGATTTTAACGGCAGCAATCAAGCACCTTTTGACGCAACTTCTTCTGCTAAGTATCGGTTTGGCCGGGTGTTGCTTTGATTTGGTGTAGACTCTGTTTACATGCGCTCATGCAAAAACAATGTAAAGTATTAACTCCCCTGTCTAGTTGTCAAGTCGGTGAGCAAATGTTGGAGCTTTTTACGTAATTGACTTCCCAACTTCCAATCTTTACGTGACTGTAGCCCACTGGGGGAACACACGCACACAGCTGTTACAGCGGTGCATATGCTTGCACGAATTTCAGGGATTGATTGCAGAGTTGAAGGTAATACCTTCGGCCATGCCACAGTTGAACCAAACAACCAAACATCAACACAGTGCGCAACAACTGCAAGCAGTGAGCTGTGATCCTAAATGCTACTGATGCCAAAAGGCATCTCACAACGTGTCTGCCTTTCGCTCTTGCGCAATGCTCCCTGCATGTTCTGCCTGCCTGATCTTAAGGTGACAATACTTGGTCTAGGCCCTCCAGTAGAGAGGTTAGAATAAGGGTACCCTTTTTCTCTGTAGTCTATTTTAGTAGGGGAACCCTCCCAACCAAAAAAAGGGGTGAGAAAGGGCACCTAGCTGGGGGACCTAGTTGTGGTGCGCACAATCTTATTGCCACATTTAACACAAAGCTTATCCGAAGCCAACGCCGGCAAGGGTCATCAGGTGGATGAAAGGCGTGTGATCTTCCGAGCCATCCATTTGGATCGGCACGTAGTGATCCTGGAATCTGCTTCGGCATCTGCAAGGCGCCCGAATTGGGGCTGCAAACCCCAACAGGACAGATCCTTTCTTATGGCCTGGAAAGGAACAGTGCTCTTTGACTACTGGGTACTGCCTTTTTGCCAGAAAAGAGAAGAAGCCAACACTTTCTGCTTGTCAATGACGTGAGCCAATTGACACTTTCAGGCTGTCAGGATCTTGTGCGCACTGTGCAAGCTATGGGTGTGTCTCAAAAAAGGCAATCCCCTCATGGTGGATTTCATCCTGCCATGTTCCATACCATTCCAGACAAGTTCCCGAGGTTTCAAAGAACTCCGCAGCCGCCTTCTTGGGGGAAGCCTTTGCATGTTCTACCGCAAGCCTCCCAGGCATTGGCACAGATGTGTAAAAAAAAGAGAGAGGGAGACTCACCGATTCTGGATTTCCTTCGGGTTTCCCGACAAAGAACCTAGGTGAAAAGGGTGCGCTGCAACAACACACCGTCCAAGCGTTTCTTTTGGATCAAGCCGTGCTGACTCTTCATGGAGTTCTTGCATGCTGACTGGGCGTGATGTACTGCTGAGTAGTGACATGGATGGATCCGAATTACATGCGCAAATGCACTGACAGAATCAAGCACGCACATACATGCATAATATCTCATGATAACTCACTCAAAACCCAGCAAAGCTTGGACAAACGGACGGCGACCTTCTGGAAATGAGTGAGAGAAAGGGCCAAAGGGCTACGGTCACTGAGTTTCTCCCTCGCGCATTTGCTTGCTGAAGGGGTGGTGATGACCCGTAGAGTTCTTAGAAGCATCTTCTGGTTCAGTCCTGTTTGCTCGTGCCAGGCCACTGCCCCACTACCATGGCCACGCAAAACATGGACACTCAGAAGGCCTCTTTGCTGCAGCGCCAAACCCAACAAACTTCCAGTCAGGTCTTTCATGGCCTGGTTGAAATTGAGTGGATGGAAGCCTATTGTGAATACTGCATTGATAAACCACTACAATTCCAACTGGTGCTTGGAAAGTGGATTTTGTCCAGTGCCACAGCACCTCCCCCACCACCTGGCAGTTGAATCAGTAAACATCATCCATCGATCGGGCCTGGTTGTTCAAACCAATTTCGCGCAAGCCCTGCCCATCCCTCTTACACATACCTCCCCAATACAGAAGCTCCTAACCAACAGAATGGTGTCTTATAGTACTTTAAAACCCGAATTTGTCATGGCCGTCTTTTTTCTCGGAGACCCCCAACAATGGATATGGTGTTCCCTTCTAAGCCCACCAGAAACACATAGGCACCCCTAAACCCCTAAACCAAAAACCCTCCAAAACCACCAAACAAACATAGGTTAACTCCCGACGTGCTAAAACCAACCATCAAAAACCCTTCTAAAACCCCACCAAAAACACATAGGTAATAGGCACCCTCCCACAAAAAAGACGACCTCCAAACCCAACCCAGCAAAAACACAGGCACAACACTCATCTCGGCTGCTTTCTGCTCTAAAGTCCTAACATCCCTTGGCAAAATGCACCAACGCCAGAACTCCTTCATTTGCTTAAGTCACCTGGAAAAAATGAGCAGATAATTCCTGTGATAGATTATCTTGAAAACCAGCAAGGGGAAACATATTCTTCACCAAATCAGGGATCCTTACATTATACACCTGAACATTGCCTTGTAAATGGTGGTTTCCCTATTTGTTGGTGGAAAAAGCCATGTTTCAAAATGGTGGCAAAATGTATCTTTTAAGGAGCCCTGACAAACTTCAGAAGCATCTTCCAAAGGCGTTCCGCCACATGCCCCCTCCGAAAAGCCGAATTTGGTTGACGTTGGAAGGGGAGCAACAGTTTGAATTTTAGCAAATACCTGCAAATTTCTTGGTTGTTTTCTGCTCCCCTGCTCAAAGTTTAACTTTTTGTGGTTTAATTCGGAAAACCCATCAGTTGGCAAAAAGTTATTCAGTCCTAATAGCCCTTGGCAAAATGCAAAGAAATGGAAGGACTTCAAAACCCACCAAACACGAGCTCCCGGCGCCCTCCGATGACCCCTCCTGGTAGTCTTGGATGATCTCCGAGGCCTCCTTCAGGCCCATGCCGCGGTACGCGGCGAGGTCCGTGAGGTACTTGTCCCCTCGGCCGGGCGGGTTTTCGAGCCCGGAAGGGCAAAATGGAAAAAGCAAAACGCGGAGGATGAGAGCAAGAAGAGGGCGAAAAGATAGAGAGAGAGAGAAAGAAAGAAAGAAAGAAAGAAAGTAAGAAAGAAAGAAAGAAAGTAAGAAAGAAGGAAATACAGTAAGAAAGTAAGAAAGTAGGAAAGTAAGAAAGAAAGAAACAAAGAAGAGAAAGAGAGAAAGAAAGTAAGAAAGTAAGAAAGTAAGAAAGTAAGAAAGTAAGAAAGTAAGAAAGTAAGAAAGAAAGAAAGAAAGAAAGAAAGAAAGAAAGCAAGAAAGAAGGAAACACAGTAAGAAAGTAAGAAAGTAGGAAAGTAAGAATGAAAGAAAGAAAGAAAGAAAGAAAGAAAGAAAGAATTAAAGTAAGAAGGAAAGAAAGTAAGAAAGTAAGAAAGTAGGAAAGTAAGAAGAAAAAGAAAGAAAGACATAAACAAATAAAGAAAGGAAGAAAGAAAGAAAGAGCTCCAGCCAAATCTATCAACCGTAGGGATTCCCGAAACAAATCCACTGGGAGGAAGCCTGACAAGGCGTCCATGCCCTCAACCTACGGCGGATGGTTGCGCAATCCGAAACCACGCACCATGGGGTGAAGCCATAACGTTGGTTGGTATTTACAGGGGCATCATTGCATCATCATTCCGAGGGTTTCTTGGGTGGTGCTCCGAGGGTTTCTTGGGTGGTGCGAAATGAATTTCGTCCATCCGCAGCAGAAATTCCTGATTGTACAGGGCAATAAAAATGGTCTCAAGAGCTAACTAGTTTAGTGGGCTCGCAAGCCGACGCATTGCTGCCGGACTGCCCTTCGGCCCATCCACTGTGATCTCGATAAAGCACACCTCGCACGATCTCGCGGAGGGAAGGAAGAAACCGATGTCGGGAGCTTTAAGCGGCGGGGGGTGGGCAAAGATGTTGCAACATGGGGGCTGGGAGTGGGAGGGAGCCCAAATACGCCCTTATTGAGGGCGTATTTGCGCTCCCTCCCTCCCTCCCCTCCCTCCCTCCCAAGGCCCCATGATTGCAAGAAAATACTCGAAGAAGGACAAGCCCATCGTAAGCATTGAAAAAGTGGGTGAGTCCCTCTGGGTGGGAAGTTTAGCGCAAGGATAAGGGTGGGTGACACCTGTCTTCTCATGGTGCCCGCTGCAAAGTGACCGCACTAGGAAGATTGCAAAGGCCACCTGGCACCATGACAGAACGGGCCGGACACAAGATGCCGTGGCAACGGCAAGTCAAAAGGTCTGAAGGCTGCCTTGGGCAAGTCATAAACACAGAAGGGTGCGGCAAGGCAGGAACACACAGCGCTTCAGTGACAAAGCAATCGATTGCGATGGCCCCTTCTTGGCGTCAAGCCAGGTTCGGCTTACACCAAACTTGGCACCAACTTAGTTATCCGTGGCTGCTGGCTTCTAACAACCTGCCAAGTCAACGGCGGCAGCCATAGTGAGCACAAGGAGCGGCCCTACCTCAATCCAACAGGCATGAAATCAATCCCAAGCTGCAAAGCCAAACAACAAATAGATGCTGTGGACTGTGCAGAACGACAAACAGTTTAACTGTTTGAGGGTTTAGTGGAAAACACCTTTAATTCCTAAAAAGCTAAAGTCTAAAGATCCAACCCAAGAGCACTCAAGCAGTGGACCGTCTGGGCCCAAAACTGCCGCGTCACCGGACACCCGCGCCTCCGCTTTCAGCTCGTCCTCCAGCTTTTTCGCCTAGGGTTCCGCCAAGCTGGGCTTGGAAGTCTTTTGTTGAATCTTGGCTGGAATTAGGACCCCAGCGAAAAAAAATGTGTATATATATATATATAAAGTTTTGAAGGGTTAGTGGAAAACAAAGGGACCCCAAAAAAGCAAAACAAATCAAAAAGGGGAGCTAATTCCGGGGAAGGAATCGGGGGAGGGCATGTACTCACTTGGCCAGTGACTAGCCCCAAAAAAGTGTACACTTTTGGGGCCACCACTAAAATAAATAAAGTGAGAGCAAGGAAAAAAGTGTAAAGTATGTCCACTGGCTGAGTGAGTGTATGGTGTCAATATCCTGAAAAACAAACCCATCCGTGGAGCAACCCAAAATGGCAGGCGCCCCTGTTTCGGACTAACCAGTGCAAACCCCGCCCACATTGGCAAGGTTCCGCAAGTGTCTCCGGACACCTGCGCCCGCTTCCCCAAGACCAAGCCGATTTGTAGACTGGACCTAGCCTCTGACTCCGTGGGAACATGTTCAACGCGCCGCTGCCTCAAGATCCCGCGAAATTCGCGACAAACCCCCGCCGGGCTAATTTGGGCAGCCAACGGCTGGTCCCTAGTTTGCGAGGAATCGCGAGAATCAACCAGCCCAGAGCTTGCAGTTTTGCTGTTGTACTGCGCCCATATGTCCAAACTGCTCCAGCCGGTTTAGGGTAGGTTTAAGCTTGGGTTAGGGAAGGGGCACCCCGGATGGAAAAATCCGGTTTTGACGGGCTCCCAGGAGGGGCATTGGAGGCAACCAAGGCAAATGTTCATTAGATTTGTTCCCGCTCACCAACCGAACCTAACGTACCCCTTTCTTTGTCTTCCAAAAAAACTCGCGAAAGCCCTCTTGATTTTGCTCTTGGCTTCAAATGGATCAGCCAAAGCCCTTCTTTTTCGGGGTGCAGTGCTTAGGGAAAGGGCACAGCGTCACACCACCCCTCCTGCGATCGAGACCCGCAAGCCTGAAAACCGCAACAAGCCTCAAGATAATTGTATCCAACATCACCTGTCCGACATCGGCTGCAGCTTCTTGTGGGATCTGTTTTGAATAAAGCCCCCCCCCCCCCCCACGCGCAAAGGCGAACATGTCGCAACCAAATGTAAAATGTTTGATTCTGGCCCATAGTGAACCCTTAACTACAAAGCAAATTCAACAAAATGCCATGGGGGTTATGGCCCTTCAGTACATCTGCAAGGTGTGCAATCACATCAAATTCCAAAAACACAGACATATTGGATTCACAAGCAAAGGGCCTTCGGCAGGAGCTGGTTTCTCCCCGATCCCTGCGCTCTTGGAAAATAGGCAAAAGAAGTGATTTGCTTTTCCCCACCCACCCGGGCCCTACAAGAAAACATGGTGTCCCCTGCGTTTCCCTTTAAGCCAAGGTGAAAAAAAAAAAACACCTTCAAACAGAAACTCCTCTTGGGTTGGTCTCGAAATTGGGGAACCTCGGTGCATTCTTTCTGGGCTAGCGAAAAGAGTGAATCGCCTTGCCGCATTGTGCCTTCTTTTCAGGGACCCCCCCCCAAAAAAAATAATAATAATAATACGGTGTTCCTCTTGGCTTCCCTTGAAAACGACAAAAAAGGCCATCAATCAGACAGGTTTTCCTCTTGGCTTCCCTTTAAAACGACCAACAGGCTATCCTCAAAAACAGACCCTCCACCTATTCTTTGCTTCCGCGACTCTTTTAGGCTACCCCTTCCCCCCCAAAAAAAACCGCAACTAGGCGATTCCTCCCCCGGGGCCCCACGCCATCCACCGGCGGTGCCACTTGGTGTGGGCGCTCCACAGACTCTTCGTGGAGGCCACGGAGTCGCTGGACAAGATGATGGCGAAGCCCCCCGTGCCCGCGGAGTAGCCCTTCCTGAGGAACAAGCGCGCGCCCCGCAAGTCAGATGATGTGTGCGGTTGTTTTTGTTTGTTTCTTACATACATACATATATATATATATATATATAGTTATTGTTTTGTTTGTTTGTTGTACGAATATATTTATATTAATATATATATATATATTAATAATATATATATATAGAGTTATTGTTCTGTTCGTCTGTTATAATACAATATATTGTTCTTATTGTGACATAGATTTATGTACATGTACATGCATTTTGGGAAGGGGGTCTGGCAAAAACAAAAACGACTCGGTATACGCCTTAATCGGTTGGTTTCAACTGTCGAAAAGAAAACCCCCCCTGCAAAGTGCCCCTTGTTTGAACCAAGACCCACTCGGGAATTCTGAGCGGTGCGATGCAACGATCCCTTGCAAAAAGTTTAAGCTTTGGTAGTAGGGGAACCCTCCCCCAAAAAGGGGGTGAGAAAGGGCACTACTGGGGGACCTTGTCTAAAAGTCTAGAAGTCTAATCATCGCAAAAAGTCAAACCTTCCAAGAGGACAATGATGACTGCGGATTTGTCCGCCTGTCGCCTTTCTTGTTGTGGGGGGGAGGGTGGCACTTCAAATGGGACATGCCCGCAACTGGGGCTTTGTATCCTGGGTCAATACGACTTGAATTCAGGAAACTCACCCAGCCTGGCCTTTTTGAGGGTTGATCATTTTTGCTGGGCAATCTCGTACATGAACAGGGGCCAAGAGTGCTGCTGAAGAAGTGCGCTGCAGCATTCGCACACGCATGCTAATGCTGCGAGCATGTGCAAATCGAGTTGTTGCGATTGGCACGTGGAGTTCCAATGGTTTGATTCCGTTCCGGACCAGTTCATTTCAGATGTTTCGCAACGCCCTTCAAACAATCACAAGCCTCCCAAGGCTGTCATTAAACAGGGGCCCCTCGCTCCTCCGTTCTCCCCCCCCGCCCCCCCCCCCCAGAAAAAAACGCCGGGCAACCGAGCACATCGCACTGGTCAACCACCAACTGCCATGCCGAGTCGCTGGTCAAAGTCGTAGGGATCTGCCGACACCCTGCACGGCTCTGGAAAAGTTGCGGTAACTCAACCCAAACTGTATGGGCTCGCCCCCCCCAAAAAAAACTCTGCTTGTTTGTTTGTTATTCCCCCCTACTAAAATGAACAGTAGCAAGAAACAAAAAGCCTAAAACTTGCCAACAACAGTGAAGAGAAGTCCCATACAGAGCTTGTACAGAGGGAGGTTCTGCAGGCAACCGTGCCCCTTTGTTCGCCCTCCCCCAAAAAATGGAGAAAAGGGGGGGCCTGGGGGAAAGAGGGAGGAGTGTAGGGGTTATTGGGTCAAATGTTGTTATCCAACGTTTTAACACCCTTGTTTGATTTCATCCTATATTTTGTTGTAGGGTGTTAGGGGTGGATTTTCTGGGGGCCGACATTTTTTTCATTTGAAAGAGTTAGCCCTTTTAGTAGTTATTTTGTTCTGGGGTGTTGGTGGTTCATTTGTTTATTCCTATTCTTGTTCAAAGTCACTTGTTGTTTCCATATATTCTCTCACAGTATCGTTATTGTTTTCTTGACCTTTCACTCTTAGTTGGTGCTTACTTGTTTGTTGGTGTTTTTTCATTCTGTATTTTCCTACAAAGCATTTACATAAAGGACATTCTACTTTTAATTGGTTATAGTCTTTCTGTTTTTCATTTATGTCTTGTTTGTTCTTTTCTCTATATTCTTTTGATTTTTGCTTTATTTCGTCTTTATGCTTTTCACGATAGTTCTTGTTCTTTTCCAGTATACTGTCTTTGTTATTCTCTCTATATGTCTTTTTCTTCTCTACAATCTGCTCTTTGTTGTTTTCGTAATACTCCTTTGCCTTTTGTTGTATTTGTTCTTTGTGTGCTTCTCTATACCGTTGTTTGCTCTCCAAGCATACATTACATTGTTTTCTTCCCTCGTTGAACTTTTCTAACAATTGAAAGACTTTACATTTGGAACATTGCGTTTTGTCTGTCATTGGTCTCTATATGTTTAAGGGGTTATTACTTTAGATAAGTTTAAGGGGTGTTATAGGTTAAAAGTTCAATATAATTATAACATATAAGATTTTACATGTTATTATTATATTATGATTATAATTTCAGTTCAGGATAATAATCTAATTGGTTTGTCTTACTTCTTTCATACATCATTTTAAAAATAATATTAATATCTCTCAATGTATTTTGAACATTAAACTTTTTACTTTCAATAAATAATTTGATATTTTGTTTAACATCTTCTCCTTTCTCTTGACTATAACCCAACATCCATAATATATCATAAATCATGTCATATTTTTCTTACTGATTTTAAGAAACTGTTTAACATAATCGTAAGGTGGTATTTTATTTACAGTTAGAAATATTAAAATATCATCTTCTACATTTCTATTATGTCTTCCTTTTATTCTCAACAGACATTTGATTAAAAATTGATTATCTCTCCATTCCTGACAATTTTCACATTCGTCTTTTTCATCCATTGAATAATTAATAATATTATTCACTATTTCATTAGGTAAACTCAATTTATACAATTCCATATTTTCTTTTTTGAAGTGACAACAATCATAGCATTTTTTATCGATATAATTATTGATTCCATCACCGTTCATTTTTCTCTTAATATATAAGGTAATATTTCTTTAAGTAGTTTTGGCTAGGGGTTGCTCTGAAAGAGAGCATTTCACAATGATGAAACCAAAACACCGTTTTTCCTTGTTTCTAGTGGTGTTTCAGCAGTGTGAAACGTGCATTTCGCAACAGTGAAATAGAGGATTGGAAATAGTCATTTCACAATACTGTAGTAGGGTATTTCCTTTCCTAATACTAAGCTGTCGGATTTTAAGCTTCTTACATAGGACTGGCCTCGTATCCGTAATTCGGTCTGCCACTCTGTTTGTGGCATCCTATCCGGTTAGTGATGAGGTGGGAGCGAACGGGGATTCGCTTAAGCAAACCACCCATTACTAACGAAAAGGAAGGGTTGGATACGTGGTCAGGAGTTGCTTCTTTTTGACAAGAGCTGACGCCTCCGCCGACCGCCACAACAACAACAACCCCAACCCCCACGTGTGAGTCCTGCTTGTCAGAAGGCACCTCCCTCGACGACAACAAGGTATCGGGCGGGTGACGGGTGGGTCGGGCGTTTTGTCTTACAACCCTAAACCGTTGTGTAAGGTTAAACTCTCGCCGATTTTTTGTTTCAATGTTTTAGACCAACCCCAATTTCAAGGGAGCTCTTCGCAAACCCTTAAATCCCAACAATCCCAAACCACCAAAATAAGGGCATAATCCCCCATTTTCAACTCCCCCAAAACCAACAAATACATAAACTTTAATGTTTTCAGTTTCAACCTCATCCCCAAACCCACATTTCCAGTTTCAAACCCAATCCCAAACCCGACCAACTGAGCCTGTGCCTGAAAATAATTCTAATAATTTCATATTATTAGAACTATTTAGATAATTATTTTATGCAATAATGCCCATAAGGCAGCGAAGTGAAAGCATCAATATATAACCTTTTATTTTCATAATTACTGAGAGATTGCTTTACTTGAGACATTGAATATATTTGATGCGACTTACTTCTGATGAAGTTATATGTGATTTCATGCTTTTTGTTTTGAAACAATGCTTCGTGATAGTTCTGATACGACAGTTCTTTTTTCACTTTGTGTTTCACTACACCTTTTGATTTCTTATGTTCATCAACCTCACCGTGAATTGTGAAGGCGTAAGATTTAGGTTTCAATCCGATGAATTTAGTAATGATTTTTCCATTCACTTCGTCCTTAAACATTCCTAAGACCTTCTTATTAGTTTTGTCATGACATGGATGCTCAACAGGATAGTCGCTAAAATCCATGTGTTGCTTTATATCATTGAAATCCTTATAGACATCATCAGTCATTGTTTGAATTACATAACTGTCAGTATCAGTATATATCAATTTGATGTTTTCATTATACTTCTTTTTCAATACATCATAATAAAACTGATACATATGTAATTTGCTTAAATCTAAAATGCTCATTCCCAGGAAAATCGGTTTATCCAGTTTCAGTTTCGCTTTAGTTTTTTCAACTCCCACCAGATTTTCATTTATAATAAATCGGTTTTTGAATGTTGGGTTATTCACGCATTTTTCATATCTTACCTCATTATCAACCAGTTCAAAGTCCATATGGTTTCGCTTGTCTTCCATAGTTTTTCCGTACACCGCGTTATTCATTAATTTGAATAAATCTTTCTCAAAATCGCTTTTGGCTTCTTTCCTTTTACCAGTGTTGAAGTCAATCCACGGTTTCAACCAAGCCCTCTGTTGAAACTTTATTATCCTATGGACTTTACCCATTTTCATTCCCATTTTCAAATAATACTGTAAAGTCTTGATATGAACCACATATTTTTCTTTATCCTTTAGATTTAATATTAACTTACTTGTTTTCTCGTCCTTGGGACTTTTACCATCATAATATATTTTGAAGACTTGCTTTTGATAATCGGAAAGCATATTCACATTTACATTCATTATTTCAGGCGCTAGTGGATAGTCAGAGTGGAAGTCGTGCAATGTTTCGGGATATTCCAAATCAACTTCCATAATATAACCGAACTCATCGTTTTCATTCCATTTTTCAACAATGGGAGTTTTCTTTGCCCACTTGATATTTTTTAGCGGTAACTTCTGGGACATTGCTAAACCATACAAGTTATTAGCATCCAAGTAACTAATATAATTTGATGGCTTGTTCTCATCATATGCTTCCCCCATATACTTATTATTTGCCACTGCTAATTTATGACTTACCTGACACATACCACCTCTCATTCCCTTTTCAACCATCTCAAACATTTCTTGGTCATGCAATTGTTCTATTTCAACGCCAGTTTTTAGAAGCATCGCGTCCCATGCGAAATTTGGCAACGTATAATAATGAGCGGGGTCTAAACCGTAGTATTCCATACACAAGTCCCTAAAGTTTTCAAATACATCGGTCAGTAGTAAAACATCAGTTCTTAAATACAGGTCGTGATACTGCCCGAGCGTCCTGATGCCGAAGTGCTTCCAGACCTTCAAGGCTCGTTCGTAATCCTTGTCGCTGACGTGCTCCTCGCTCAATTTACTGTAAAACGCTTCTTTCGGTGGTAAAGCCCTTTCCTTAAATCTTTCAAAATCATCAAAGTAGTCATAGGGATAAATACCCTTATCAGTCAATAAATCCAAATCTTCATCGGTTTTAACATACGGGTTTCTAACGCTGTATCTGAAATTGTTCTTCCAATTCTCACGCTTTTTATCATCCTCATATTTACTCAACTTCACCAACTTATCCAACGAAGACGATAAGAAACTGAAACGGTCCTTGAAACAAAGATTCTTAAAACCAAAGGTTATAAACTTTTCGCTGTTCTGAGCGATACATTCTATTTTAGAATTCTTGTTCAGTTCGTGAGCCTTGTTGATGATTAAGTGGGCATCATAGTTTTAAGGTTATGAAGAAACACAGGGATTTTATAATATCTCATACTAAATCGAAGATTACAGTCCTCGTGGGCGCAACCTCTATACTGCCCCGTAAAGTGGCAATGGTCCCAACACTTCTTTTCTCCTTCCTCAAATTTGTTTCCGCAAATGAAGCAGTTAGTGGCATTATTGAAGTCCTCCCAGTCCTCCTCGGTTTCAATACGGTCTTTGACCTCCTTCATTTTCACTAAAACATCCCATTTCACTTTATGCATTCTTTTTACAAACACATCCATACAATCTTCACCTCTGTAAGAGTAAGGCTCACTACTTCCGGTTATAGCATTGACTACATTAATCATAAAACCACAGGGACGATGATTTTGATATGATGTAGTTTTAGCTTTTGCCGATTTGCTTTTAACATCAATTGGCACAGTTAAACATTCAAAGTCGGCATAGATTACGAATGGAGCTTTAAGTTTCTTGAAATGGTTTTTGAATGCTATTGTTTCACCTGCTTCTGGCATTTCTATTTTTTGACCCTCA